GGGGCACAGCCAGGGCCTGGCTTGCTGTTGCCTGCGGGAGATACGGCGGCTGGGACAGTTTGGAACGGAGGCAGCGGGACGCAGGGATGGAAAACCGAACCCAGACCGAACCACGCCGGTACCGAGCCCCGATCGGCTCCCCCACACCGCACCGAGGCGCTGCCCGGTCGCGGATTGCGGCTGCGCGGAAGTGGGAGGGTGGAACGGAAGTGACGTCACGACGGGCGACTTCCGGTTCCGGTCGCTCTTTTCTCGGCGGCGAGGCGAGGCGGTGCGTGCGGATGGGCCGGGCTGCGTGTTGGGAACGGGGATTGGGGGCGAACGGGGGGTGTTAAGGAGCGGGATTCGGTCCTGGGGCGGGTGGGGGAGGTCGGGGAGCCGCGATCCGGCGTTGGGACGGCGGTGGTGGGAGCCTCGGCCTGGAAGGTGGGAGCCTCGGCCTGGAGGGTGACGCGGCTGCTGCCCCCCCCCCTCCCCCTCAATCCCTTCCAGGCGGACCGGTGCCAAAATGCAGATCTTTGTGAAGACGCTGACGGGCAAAACCATCACCTTGGAGGTGGAACCCAATGACACCATCGAGAACGTCAAGGCTAAGATCCAGGACAAGGAAGGTGCGCTTAGCCAGGAGTCCCAGCGGCTGCTCCTGCCTGTCCCTCCTTCTTCCCCCCCTCACTTCTCATTTAACGGTTCTCCCCCGCAGGGATTCCCCCCGACCAGCAGCGCCTGATCTTCGCAGGGAAGCAGTTGGAGGATGGCCGCACACTCGCCGACTACAACATCCAGAAAGGTGCCGTTGTTGGGCCCGGTGTGGGCCCACAGCAGGGTTTGTCTGCTTCTCGGCCCCCTCAGTGATGTTTATCTGTATTTCAGAGTCCACCCTGCATCTGGTGCTGCGTCTGCGCGGGGGCATCATTGAGCCCTCCCTGCGGCAGCTGGCCCAGAAGTACAACTGCGATAAGATGATCTGCCGCAAGTACGGCCCTGGTTTGGGGGTGCCCATATCAGCCCATTTATACCCCCTCGTTTATACCCCTGCCATGCTCTCCATGCGCTGCGATTCGTCAGCGCCCCCCCCAGGAGAGGCTTTAGGCCCCCCGGTGATGGGCTCTGTGCTCCCTTCCAGGTGCTATGCTCGCCTCCATCCCCGCGCTGTCAACTGCCGCAAGAAGAAGTGTGGCCACACCAACAACCTGCGCCCCAAGAAGAAGGTCAAATAGAGCTGCTCTGCACCGCACTGTGCTCTCCTAATAAAGCATCTGCGTTCAAACCCTGTCCTGTCCTTTGTACCCGAACGGGGTGCTTTTCCATAAACACGAGGCCGCGGCAGGGAGCGCGCCGGCACTGCGTTCTGTCCTGGTGCTCGGGGTGGGAGTGAAGGCTCCCGCGGGGGAGGCGGGGGGGGAACCGAGGCGCTGCCCGGCGATGCCTGCAGGTGGCGGCGGTGCCGCGTTGCGCCGTGCTCCGCCCCCGCCGGGCCTGCGCGTTCCGCTCCGCTCCGGGAGCGGCCCCGGCCATGGTGAGCGGGGCGGGGGTGCCGATAGCCGCCCGGTTTCACGGGGCTGGGGGGTCCCGACGTACCGGAGCCGGGCTGTGAACGCGTGACCGGGCGCTCCGGTAGCGGCACGGCGGAGGTCGGGCGCTCCGTGCGCGGTTCCGGCCCGGCAGAACCGAACACGCGGGGTGGGAGCGGTGCGGGCAGCAGCGCTGTGCCGGTGCCCCACGGCCCTCTCTGTCCACGCAGACCGACGAGGCGCTGCGGGCGCTGCTTCAGCGCTTCTACGCTCTGCAGGGGGAGCGCGTGGAGACGTACCGGCTGTTCGAGGAGTGAGTACCGGGACGGGACCCCACGGGGATGGATTCCCCCATCCCTCCTCGACACATCCGTACGGAACGGGGCACAGAAGGGCAACGGGAAACCAAACGATCACCCCGGTGTGAGCACCGGGAACGGCACTGCGTGGCCACGGTGACGTTATTTTGCTGCCTTTCTTCTGCCTTCATTCCCCAGAGGTCACCGCGCATACCTGAGCAGCGCCCCGCACTACGATTTCCCTCGCTACAGGCAGTTGGTGCACGAGGTGACGGCGGCCTTCAGCGGCATCTCCCGCGAGGTGCTGCAGCTCCAGTGCCGCCTGCGGGGTGAACTCGGCCGCCCCGACCTGGCCCAGCACCTCACTCGCCTCCAGGAGCGCGAGCAGGAAAAGCTGCAGCTGGTGAGCGCCGGGCACGGGGGGTGGGAGGGGTTCCGCTGCCACCTGAACGGGGTGGGCTCAGCCCCCGTGCGTCCCCCTGCAGACAGCACAGCTCCAGCTGGCCCGGCAGCGGGTGCAGGATGAGCCCGGCGTGGAAACCCATCAGCAGGAGGTGCGGGAGCTCAAGCACAGGTCGGTGGGCACCCCCTGCTCCCCTCCTTTTGGGGCTGGGATCCCCCTTCCCACCCTCCCTTCCCTCCAGCGGGGCCGGAGGGGGCCCAGATGGCGCCTTCAAAAGAGCTCTTGTTTGGAGCCCTCCGGATTGTTTGGCGATGCCGCGCGGCCGCGCTCCCATCAGCCTCCCTGGGCTGAGTGTTTCATAAACAGCGCGGGGAGCGCGAGGCGGCCCGGATAATACGCTCCATATGGGCTTTATTTATAGTTTCCATCCGCTCTTGTAGGCTAATTAAAACCATCGAGGCAATCAGCGAAATTCTCCAAGACCTCAAGTACGATTCGGAAGAAGCCGAGTGATGGGCGTCCCCGTGGGAATGGCTGAAGGGGCCGTACAGCAGAGCGCTGCGGGGCCCCCTGCCCCACTCCCACCCCCGGCGAGGTGGGCACCTGCCCCCCAACCCGGCCCCATCGCTCAGCGGGGGAGCCCCCCCCACATCCTGAGCATCCCTCTGCAGGTGGGTGCACGCGGGGCTGGACCTGTGCCCACTTTCTGCTGAGCGCAGCGGGGCTTGGAACCAGGGGACCCTTTTCTCTGAGCCCCCTGGGTGTCCCCATGGGGACAAACACTGCCATCGCTGCCCTGGGGACATCCTCTGCCCTGCAGACACCCAGGGCTGGCGCTGAGGATGGAGACAACACCCAGCCCACACCTTTTGTGGTCACCTTCAATAAAAACATCTCCTGAGCCATGTGGTCCATAGGGTTTGTACCCTCCCTCATCACCACCCATGTCCGTGTCCCCAGATCGGTCCCCCGAGGAGCCCAGGCGCGTGGTGACATTGACGTGGCCCCGTCCCAG